GGTATTAACAGTAAATCATCCGCTAATAGCAGTATTAGCAGTAAAACAGTCTGTTATTAACATTAAAGCAGTTGGTATTTGCAGTTAACAGTAAATCATCCGCTAATAGCAGTTAACAATAAAACATCTGGTAATAGCAGTTATTAACAGTAAAACAGTCAGTATTTGCAGTTATTAACAATAAAACAGTCAATATTTGCAGGTATTAACTGTAAAATGTCTGGTAATAGCAGTTATTAAAAGTAAAACATCTGGTAATAGCAGTTATTAACAGTAAATCATCTGGTAATAGCAGTTATTAACAGTAAAACGGTCAGTATTTGCAGTTATTAACAATAAAACAGTCAATATTTGCAGGTATTAACTGTAAAATGTCTGGTAATAGCAGTTATTAACAGTAAAACATCTGGTAATAGCAGTTATTAACAGTAAATCATCTGGTAATAGCAGGTATTAACAGTTATTAACAGTAAAACAATCAGTATTTGCAGCTATTAACAGTAAAACAGTCGGTATTTGCAGGTTTTAACAGACGGTTATTAACAGTAAACCATCCGGTAGTAGCAGGTAGTGTGAAAGCAGAAGAAGCCTGAGCTGCCTTTGTTTCTCCACAGACTGATAAGCCCACCCAGCTGTTCCTATCCTCAGCTTCCAATAAAGAGACTCAGTCTGGCTTCTGCTCTGTCCTCCCAGTGTGCAAAGTTCTGCTGATAAGCTCTGGGCTTTGAAGCTTGGATGATAAAGCTTCCTGTAATTGCAGCTGTTGACAGCCTGTATTTTCTCTGATGAATTATGGATCCAGATTCCTCCTTTTTGTCAAAGTTGACTGGCCTGAACGTGTCATTCTCCATATTTATTTGATCCTATTCAGAGTGTATTTGACTGGGACTGTGCTTAAAGGTAATGGGACTCAGAATTATCATTGTTTTAGTCACGTTTAAGGTCGGGAAAGGCTCCCTAATGTTTGTAATGTCCATCTCAGCCTAACAGTTCTGACCTGTTCTCTGTTCCACTGCCTGCTTTACCTCTTTCCCTTTTGTCTTCTATCCGTCTTTTATCTGTGTCTCTCCGATCTGTGTGAGGGGTGTCTGTCCTATCTGCGTTTACTAGTCTGCTAACAGCTTTTTGGTGAGATTTCCACTCCAAAACAAAGACACGGATGTTAGCTAACACCTCCACCTTCAGTTACAGGCACAAGCATGCCACCCTCAGTCAGCCCGGCTCCGAGTCCTCCTCTAACCCCCCTCTGGAGCCCACATTAACCCCCAACTTGTCGTCCTGACAGCCAGCCTGTGTGGTAAAGCTATTCTTCCTGCTGCTCTTCCCTACCGCACGCTAGCCCGGAGCCGCATCCCCCGCCCCAGCATGAGTCAGGGCTGCAGTCGCGACACCAGTCGTGAGAGCAGCCGCGACACCAGCCCCGCTCGGGGCTTTGCTCCTCTGGGTGAGTACGGCTCAGATGGGCCTCCACTCTCCCCCAGGGAGCCATCCCACTGCCCCCCCCCAGTCTGTGTGGTGTCCCGTGGTCCTCTGCATGCACTAACTGTGGGTCTGGGGTTTGGGAGACGGGAAGCTCATTTCTATGGTCATTTTTGCTCTGTTCTCTGGGCTGAGCCAGCTGTTTCTGGGAAATGCTTTCTGACTGTCCACCATTTTGGGATTTGGGGTAAAGTACAACATGGCTTGCTCTCTGGGTTTAAAGGATTAAGTTAAAGAAACAGCACTTTTTGTTGTTTTTCTTGGTCCTATCAGAGCTCTATGTCCCATTACAGCTGACAGGTGGATGCTTACTGTTGATTTACATGTTTTAAGTTTGTATTTTCCTTATTGTTCTGCAGAACAAGGACAAAGATGAATATCTGATTGATAAATTCTGTCAAGTTTAAAGGCTTTCAGGTTGACATTGTAAAAACTGGCGTAACGTGTAGAAAGGTGCACGAAGAACAAAGCTGAAGAAAATATTACTAAAAAAGATTTCTTAAGACATCAGTAAGTTTAACTGTGACACTTTTTAAGAGTAAGTTATCTGGTATTTGCAGGTATTAACAGTAAAACAGTCGGTAATTAACAGTAAAACAGTCGGTAACAGCAGGTATTAACAGTAAATCATCCGATAATATCAGGTATTAACAGTTAAACAGTCGGTATTTGCAGGTATTAACATTAAACTTGCAGTATTCTCAGTGTCTGACGTTGCTCCTTTGAATGTTTCTGGTTTTAAATCCTGCGTTTCCACTCTTTGTGCCGTGTGCTGTCAGAGGGGAATCCAGCTGATATCCAAACAAACCGCTGAACAGTCACAAACTCGCTCTGTTAGGGTCACATACGGAGTAAGACTTTAAAGACGTGCCGGTGGCTCTAAAGAAAACCACCGGTCTCCCCCCCTTCATGCTGGATTTCTTCTTCTCTGGGTTCTCTCTTGGTGTCCAGTGGTTGGTTGGGCATGTCCTATGTGGGGGGGTAAATGGGGGTAAACGGGGCTGTCTCTGGGGCCTTGTGTGACCACTAACCTGGTCTGGGTGTGGCCCCCCCCCTGTCCCCCGCAGCCTCCCGGCGTCACTCCCGTTCCACCAGCGCTCTCTCCTCAGCAGAAGCTCACGGCCAGTCAGGTGACCTGCATGAGCACAGCTCCCTTTGCTTTAGAGCTTCTGTGGTTGGTCAGTGGGATGAAACCAGGAAAAAATCCATCCATCATCCATCCATCACTTCATCAGACCGGAGGAACAGAATATTGTGTTTGAGCATGTAGATCAGGGTGTCAAACTCCAGTCCTCTCTGGACCCCAGTCATCCAGGGCCCCAGTCCTCCAGAGCCCCAGTCTCCTTAGGGCCCCAGTCCCCTTAGGGCCCCAGTTATACAGTCCTCTCTGGACCCCATTGCTCCAGGGCCCCAGTCCTCCAGGGTCCCAGTCCTCCAGGGTCCCAGTCCCCTTAGGGCCCCAGTCCCCTTAGGGCCCCAGTTATACAGTCCTCTCTGGACCCCAGTCCTCCAGGGCTCCAGTCCCCCAGTCCTCCATGGCCCCAGTCCTCCAGGTTTTAGACATTTTCCTGCTTCTGGACTCCTGATTCTGGTTAAACTGGATCTCCTGTGGACATAGCTGAGCTTTGTTAACGTCTCTCTGAAGGGAATCGGCTGTGTGGAAACAGGGAACCCTCTAAAAGGCCCACAGAGGACTGGAGTCTGACACCTGTGATGCAGATGGAAGTGATTGTGTCGTGTTATTATAAGTTTTTTTCTCATTTGGTTCAGACCCATTTCAGCCTTTTCTCTCCTGATTTTGGCTGCAGAACTTTTCTTTTACTTTCCGTCGTCTTTTAATGTCTGTGGTGGCTCAGACTTAGAGCTCATGTGTGGGGGGTCATCCTAGGGCATGTCCAGGCCTTTTGGGTTTTCCAGGTTTGCGTTTTTGTTGCTTCAGCTGGCAGGTGAATGCCCCCCCCAGTCTGTCTTTCAGCTGGAGCGTAGTCCGACTCTGACTCAGGTAAGTCGTGATGCTTTCTCCAGCCATC